CATTCCAGACGCTCAGCCGCCTTTAGCTGAACCAAACAGGCTGCACTATTATATTTAAAACTAATACATGCTTTGTAATGCTTATCAGGTGGTGGGTTTTCAACAGTTTTTCCCCACTAATGCCACAATTTCAAAACCATTTGGGCTAATTTCCTCTGACTTCAATCTATTTTAATCAGAGAGCAGGATACTTGACTTAAATGGTTTGTATTAAACCCTTCATAAAACCAGCCATAAAATAGAATGCACAAAATAGTGAATGGATCTTGAAGTCAGAAGTAGAAAAAGCTGAAACTTTTCAAATCCTCCAGCAAACTCCAGCTTATTTCATAACCAGCCCAACCTCTCTCTTGCAATACCAAGACAATTGATCTCCCCCTAAATAAAAGGCAATAACCAAAACACACTCCTCAAGTTATTACATAGATAAAAGACACTAAGTTACACAGCTGCAGTCAGTACCCACAAATTCTCTCCAAATTAGTAGCCCAGCTTCAAAATGATGCATATTTAATAAATTGCTGTGTCTGCTCTGTCCTCTCCACCACCCTCCCAGGAAATGACGGATAGTGGCACTGAGGAAAAATACAATGAAAATCTAAAAATGTCAGAATTAATCCTTTTCTTCCCCCCAACTTCTGAAAAAACATTACTTCTCAAATTAATTCCCACAAAGTAATGCTGGCTCTGCTAGAAGTCGGAGTTCTGGATGAGAAATGAAAATAAGCAGCTCAGACTCAGGTAACTGCTAGGGAAGGTCTCACTCCGAGGATTTATCATTGTAGTGGGATTTGCATATCATCTAGCCAAAGGTGCAATTTGTACCTGCAATTCATTCCGTCCAGACAAACCCTACCAGCGCAACTGGAGGCTGGCCCCCATTCCTTTGAAAACCCATCCAAATATTTCTGTTGTCAGTGGCTGACAGCCTTGGAAACTCTGAGTGGCTGCTTGAAATTCATGCAGCACGCAGCGAAGAGAAGGAACAAAAGCTCTGCATGCTCTCACATCCTTAACAATTTGCCGGTGTGCTGGAGACATGTAGCTGCATCCCCTCGCTGCATGATTTTCAATGGTTTGCAGACGCCAAGCAAAGGCTTTGTCACTGTCCTAATGACACAGGCATTGGACATGTATCTTTCAGAATCTAAATCTCTCTCAGCTCACTCTTTTATCAGGGATTTCCCTCCAGGCCTGGACAAACTGACACTTTCCTATTTTGAGGAACACTCTGCCAGCCATATCTAAAATTAACTTTCATAAAGTCACAGCATCTCTTTTCTCACGCTCTTAACAAAATGACTTGGCACCTCATTGAAAGTCTATTCTTCTAGGGTGCTTCGCACGTAAACATCATCACCATCATCACCATCTTGAAAGGTCAATCCAGAAAAATAGTAGCTAAAGGATACTGCTACCTGATCCATGGTATTGGTGGGTATTGGTACGGGATACTGCCATCCGACCCGATGGACGGGCTTCCTTCACAGGTGTCTGCACAGAGGTGTCATCGCTCAGGAGCTGTTACTCCTTCTGACGGATATTTTAAGCCTTCTCCATGCCTTCCTCCTGCCACCGCAGTGGCAAAGGGTTAAGGCACTTCTGCCCTCTCTCTGGGCTGCTTAAAGCCCAACAGCAGAGCCCGCAGCAGGTCCCAGTGGAAGGACTGCGCTGGGGGGAGGACCAGGGCAGCCCGAGAGCCCCGGAGCTCTTGCAGGGACACGATGGAGCTGACAAGGGAGGAGAAAGGGAGAGTCTTTGCACACATTTACAGGGTAAAAAACACGAGAGGCCAACAGCTCAGCGAACAGCCCTTTGCTGACCAAAGCAGATGTGAGCTTCTGATCGCATCACTACCACCCAAAATAACGTATTGCTTGAGGAAAATACAACGCAAGAGAGAAGAGTGGGAAGAAATAAGCTTTTTTTCCCCAATAAGTCATCTTCAGCCAAACTACATCGGTTGCTCGTTACTGAGCATGGCCCTGGGAATCATAAGGAGGGAAAAGCGGACAGTATCACAGGAGAATATGAAAGCAACCATCACTCCTGGTGCTCAGAAGACACCTAAACACACGCACTCCTTCACGGAGCAACGGGCACTTACTTGGTTGGACGATAATCTGGTATGGAACGATCCAGTGAAATTTTCTCACTGAGGTAGGAGTTGTAGCCGTATTTCTCATGTGGTCCCTTTGCCTTCTCCTCCTCCTCCGGGGACAGGGTGGCTGGAAGCCCACCTTTACCACGTCCACCATAGCCTTCAATGAGACCAAGTGACTTGGACAGACCTTAAGAGAAAAAAGAGATATCATCACTCTTAAAAATCATCACTGGGACTTCCAAGCTATAAAAGCAACAAAAATCACGTGAAAAAACAGGGTGTTTTATTTTGGTTTTCTGAAAACATTTCAAATTCTACTTCTTTGGCCCAATGCTGGAAAGAAAATGACCAAACTTTGAAGTTCTTCATGGCTCAGACACACTGTTCCTGATAGCTCTGCCACCAGCACCCAACTGATAACTCGTCCCAGGGACCTGTGCATTTCTTTAGTTGTGAGGCAGGTTATTTCGGCCTCCCTCCCACTCCCAGAGAGGTAATTACACATAAGGTTAGGTGTCCCCAGCAGAAGCACAGGGTGAACACAGAAGAAGAATAAAAAAAGGTTGGTTAACTGCCAGCTGAACGAATTTCTGCTCAGTATGAACACTGAACAGCATACAAATGTTATGGATTTAAAAACAATTTCCCCTCAAAGCTTTCTTATCTTTTAAAGTATCGCATTCCCAGACCTTTATCAAGCAGAATTATTTATTTATATCTGCATAGCTGAAGGAAATAGGCAAAGTTCAAAACGAGCCGCACAAAAAGAGCTATACTGATGATTTGGTGGTGCTTGTGGGAAGCCAAGTTCATACTCATATCATTATTTATTATACAGGAGACCTGCAATTTAGTATTTTTTATTAGCAGAGACTCACACTCTTCTTTTTGTCAGAAAAAAATTGATGGATTATTTTGTAATTTTTTTTTTTTTTTTAATAAAGACAGCAGGATATATTCCCGTTGGGTTTCCTGGCAGAGCCCTGACTCTGCGGGCAGAACGAACAGACTGTCGTCACCAGCGATGCTTCGGAAGGCACAGCAACCTTGAGGCTATGTACAGGGCTTCCTGATCCAAGAGCACGGTCCAGCTCCCAAACCTACCATGGATTTCCATCACCCTGGACACAACACTCCGCCTCCCCATCTGCAAGGCACAGATCTCAACACTTTTTTACTTTTTTCCCCTCAAAAAGTAGTATTGTGAGGCAGTAAGAAAATCACCTATGAATGTAAATCACAGTATGAAGCACTTGAATAGAAATTATTATTATTATTATTACTCCTTCTGACAAGGAACCTCTAAACTGCCTTCTCTGCTAGGGAGCTTCTGGTAGTTGATGGAGTCCTTCTGACCGCACGAGGCTTGATTAGATTTTATCCGAGGACAATAATAACAAATCAACTGCAAGGAGCAGCTGGCTGTGAGGCGGGGATGGATTAGATAGCCAAGCTGCCGTTTTCTGTCTCTAGGCTCAGCGACAGCCAGAGGAGCAAGTGGAGCTTTCTGGCCTGCAGAAGACCAGCAGATCACCCCGCGAACCTCCTAACCCCAAACGGCTGGAGGAACAAGCTTCAGCTCGCTTACAAACAGACACCAATTTCATTTCGGACACAAACTCCAACAGAAATAAAACAGTATTTATAAAAAAAAATACTCTCATGAAGAGACAATTCTTCTCAAAATGTCTATTTCTTTACGAAAACCAGATTGTTTCTACTCAGGAAGAGTGCACCTACAGATACGTAAATTTCCTTGGGTTACCCCATATCACTACTTGCTTCTTGTTACACCAAAAAGACGAAACGGCTTCCTCAGTTCATCAGCTGAGGGTTTTACCACTGTAACAGACACATTCTAACAGAAATTCAGTTTATCATTTTAATTCCTTCTTCTTCACCTTTCCCATTAAATGATTCCATCAAAATCCGTATGAGCTTGTCTTACTGCCGACCAACACCAGCTCTTGGCAAGAAAGACACTAACACAGAGCTATGAAGCCCCTCCACGGCATCAAGCACGCTCATACTTTTACCACAGGCATCCTCAGGATCTATCAGTTTGCTTTTAAAGCTTGATTCTGCTTTTCTTTGCTCTTTTTAACACATTTCTCACCTCCCCAATGCCTTTGCTATCGGTGCTTTGAATCTACGCACCTGTAAGCAGGGCTGAAGAGAAGTGGGACCTTCCTGAGCTGGGTTAGGGCTGGCAGAGGCTCTGTGGATGGAGGACCTTGGTGCTGGGCAGTGGAACCTGGGGTTCCCACCCAGTGGGCTACCAGAAGTGCTAACATCACAGCACCTTGCTCTGTTCAAAGCAGGTTTAAGAAAACACAAGCTCGGGTTATCATCAACAGATTATAATTGTTTGACTCAGATACCCGAAGCAGCACTTCTCCCAGAGGTCTGCACCTGTCCCTCCAAGGCAAATTCAGCCACCACAAGATCTGCATCAATCTCCAGAGGACTTCACTAAGGTAACTGGGCTCCCAACTACAGCATGTTGATAAACTGTCTCAAACTAGAGGTGAGGAACTTAGCTCTCAGTGTTCAAAACACCAACCACCACAGCTACACCAGCCCTTTCCACATTGCCCAGCCTAGGGGACCTGAGCTGGTATTAGGGGCAGTAGGAGACACCTGGAGCAAGGAGATCTTTGCCAAGGAATTCAGCTGGCTGCACCAAAATGGCAGGCTCAGTACACTCTACAGCCAAACCTTCAATCCTCATCCACCAGCGACGGAGACTGGGGACAGTATGGTGGGAGGTGCTGGAGAGCACAAGGACACCTTCCTCACCTGTCCATCCATCGTTCTTCACAGAAGAAAGATACACAAGGGGACGGTGCACACTCCCAAAATACAGTCAAGACATGGGCAGAGCCAGCACAGACCCATCTGTGCCCCCATGCCCTCAGCTATCGCAAGGTAGCAGGCTCCGTCGTGACAAGACAAAATGAAGGTCCTGGCAAAATGCAGCCTCTCTGTTGACAGCAGAGGCACCAGAGAAATGCCAAGACATGACTTTATACTCAGCAGCTTTGACTGATGAGCCTGTAATGCCATTAACTGCATTATTCTAAGACCACAACCATGACCACCCCCCCCAGCATACATTTCTCTGTCCTCACTATGTACATTCCTTTACTTCTGCACACAAACTTCTCAGTCCTTCTACTGCTACAAACCCAGTCTCAGTAAGCACAGATGAACCCATGTCATTTAACCACAGGAACCAGTTAAGGTGATCGATTCACAAGTGTTGGGCAGGACACTACCATGAGAACACCACCCTCTCCTTCCGTGCCACCCAGGACAGCAAACACACCCGCAGGGACAGCCACAAAGACGAACATTCCCAGGCACGATGTGACAGGGAGGATCTCTGTGTCCGTCTCTGTAACGGTTAAACATTTTCTCCTCCAGTTCGGGCTGTCAGAAGGGTTCATCCATGCAGCTGGGATGTCACTTTGGTGTACGGCACCTCAAAGCAGGATTCAAGCAATGTTTGGCAAGAACGATAATTTATATCCAAACAGAAGAGAAAGAAATTTGCTTCCAGCTGGCTGAAAAGATGCCCCAGGAGAGGCAGGACTGAGAACAAATGGTTACAGCAGAACCAGCAGACCCACTCATTCACTCACTTCTACCAGCTCCATTTTAGAGCTGCACAAAGAAGGGTGCACTTCTGCCAGCTTTTGCTACAGCTTCAGAAATTCTGCTCAGCCCAGCCCGTGTGGTTCCTTCACCTGGGCAGGAATCCGGGCAAAGTGCCTTCTCAGCAGGGAGCTCCCTGGGCTTTGCATTAATCCACATTTGGGTGCACAGAGACACCCACACGTCTCCCAAGTCTAAGGGAGAGCAAGCCCAGCAGCCCACCTTCTAGAGAGGACTCCCACGTGCAATCATATCTCCTCTCCTTGTTCCCCTTCCTCTCACCCCTCTCACCCCCAAATTGCCTTTTTTAGCCCCTGCGTACTCCACCGTGCCTGCAGCAGGGCCCTGACCCACCTCAGAGCCCAGAGCCACAGGCTGTGGGTTTCTGGAGGCAGCACGTACACCTCCTCCCTTTTTCTGGTTGCCCTCCACAGCCTGCATGGAAATGCCACTTGGGTCTCAAAGGGCAAACGATCTCGTATCGCGTTCAAACGGCGTAACGCTGCAAATGAATGACTTCAGTGGCTCTGGCGATGCAGGAGCAGAAGGGGGACATCGCCTCCGAAGCCAGTCGTTCCCCACACACATCTGTCCAGGGCTGGTGTCCACCACAGCCTTCTGCTGTAGCCTCTTACTAGCACATGCTTGTAGCATCTTCACACTTTGAAAACCTCCAGCCCTTTGCCAAACCTGCTTGAAATTGGCCTGAAAGGGACAGAAATTGCACACACAGACACAACAAGCAAGAAAAAGCAAGAGCATGATCCCATCAGCTTATGTCCTTGAAGAACTGGTCTAAAAAGTAAAGAGTCGGAACTGTTCCCCAGTCCCAGACCAAATCCTTTACCATTCTGGGCAGGCACCAAAGCAGAACTGCTGAATCGCTGCCAAAAAGTCTCTCCTGATGCCTGCTCCAGCCTATCTATAGCGATAAACAGCACTAATCCCCCCCAAAAATGCTTGCTCTTCGGAGCGAATTCACTCCCCAGGGAATTTTGCAAGCTCATGAGATGGTAATGGGCTGCATCAAGATTAGATGTTCAGTGTAGATCAGAGCGCTGAACAGTTGTGAGCTCCACTCATCCTTAAACCACATTCACTCCCAAACACCTTAGAAACAAAACCAGGAGTTTTTTTTCAGAATCTCTTTAAACATCTGAACTTTGGGACAGAAGGAGTGCATTGCTCTTACACTGCAGGAATAGTTGGTTTTCTTCAAGATGATATAAAAATTTAATCTCTACAGCAAAATTATTCCTCGACTGAGTACAGTTACAGTAAATAAATTATTCTCTCCTTAAACTGGCAGTATATTTCATAAGGAGACAGGAGTTTTCTAGGCTAGAGAAAACCTTTGGTAAAATACAATATAACGTGATACATAGCCTTCATTTATAAAGCACCCAGCCAAACAAGCTCCCCAGGCAGCCGGCGTGCTGGAAAAGCATTTTGCTGCATGTCAGCCTAGATGAAGGAAAACGTTCACCCTACCGGTACAAACCCCAGCCAAGGAAACTTCTTTCATTAAGAAAGCCGGGGAAGAGTGTCTGGAATGACAAGGCATTTCTGAGAAACAGGGGTCCTGAGCCTTAACGCTGGGGGTGGAGGAGGGAAAAGAACAGGAGGAAATCACATAGGAAAGATTTCTGGAAAAGCATCCTTCCTCGCTTGTTCATGTCATCCCGCCGCCTGAGTCACAGAGCACGCACAGCTCCGATCGCAAGGCACATCCTTACAGGAAAGAGGAACACAAAGCCCTCCTTCCCAAGCAGCGATAAATAACACTGAAAAGGTACTGAAAAATAATGGAAGCATAAAGAGAAAATTCAAGTAATGTCTTTGAGAATACAGCTCTTCAGCTAAGCTCCACGGATCCTCCAGCCCAAACAGCTCTCCTAGGGACGTGTGCTTCTGGCCTCCCTTCCGCCAGCGACTTGAAGGCTAACAAGAAATTTCTGACTCAGGAAAAGCAGCAAAACCCATGAGGGTAAATGGCCTGATGCGTGCCGCGTGTCACACCGTGGACACCGCCTCTGCGTGAGCGGGAGGCTACAGCAGATGGGATTTCAGGGGTATGCCTTGAGAAACCGGAATGGACACCACAGGGCAAAATGTCATAGGTAATGCTAGGAATTATGGAAACCTGCTGAAGTTTTTAGTGTTGTCCTGCTGATCACTGCAAATACAGACTATTAAAGGGAGGCCTCATTAACGATAAGGGTAATTGGCAGACTAAAAGGCACCAATTTTCCTTTGCAGCTTTGGTGGAACCTGAGACCTGGAATTTTCTCTTCTCTCCCTGCAGCAGTTTTTACACTATTTTTACCCAGTCTTTGCTCAGACCTTTTATTAGACTAAATAATGCAAGTCCTCCGACTGTAGGTGACACCTACGTGGCAGGCAACATGCGCTGTTCCAGGGCTATTCCAATTGTCTCGGGAGTACCAAACACGCCTGCCT